ATGCCGAGAAGAGGTACACGACCCATGAAAAGGAGATGACCGCCATCGTCCATTGCCTTAGAGTTTGGAGGCATTACTTGCTTGGTACCCCATTCGTCATCAAGACGGACAACGTTGCCACTAGCTACTTTCAAACCCAACAAAAGCTCACACCTAAGCAAGCAAGGTGGCAAGAGTTCTTAGCGGAGTTTGATTACAAGCTAGAGTACAAGCAAGGAAAGGAGAACGTGGTGGCCGATGCTCTGAGTAGACGAGTAGAGTTAATGGCTACGGTACTCAAGCCGCAAAGCCATCTCTTGGGCCGTGTCCGAGAAGGTTTATCACATGACGTCCAAGCCAAGAACATTGTGGAGTTTGTCAAGGATGGGAAGACAAGAAGGTTTTGGCTTGAGGACGGCTTGCTATACACCAAGGGCAAGCGGATCTACGTCCCAAAGTGGGGAAGCTTAAGGAAAGAAATCCTGAAGGAGTGCCATGACTCAATGTGGGCAGGACATCCTGGCACTCACCGCACGTTGGCTTTGGTGAGCGATGCTTATTATTGGCCACAAATGCGGGATGATGTAGATTCGTACGTGAAGACTTGTCTTGTGTGCCAACAAGACAAAGTGGAACAAAGGCAACCGGGAGGACTGTTGGAACCACTTCCCACCCCATCAAGACCATGGGAGTGTTTGACCATGGATTTCATCACACATTTGCCCAAGTCTGATGGATGTGGATCTATCTTCGTCGTGGTCGATAGATTCACCAAGTATGCCACTTTCATACCCGCACCTGTGGAGTGCACAGCCGAAGTAGCTGCACGCTTGTTTTTAAAGCACGTGGTGAAGTATTGGGGAGTTCCGAGGAGCATAGTCAGCGATCGAGATGCTCGCTTCACGGGTAGATTTTGGAAGGAGCTCTTCAAACTACTTGGCTCGAAGTTAGACTTCTCCACAGCTTTTCATCCCCAAACTGATGGACAAACGGAGCGGGTTAATGCATTGTTGGAGACTTATTTGCGGCACTATGTTAGTGCCAATCAACGAGATTGGGCTAAGTTACTTGATGTTGCCCAATTCTCTTATAACTTGCAACGTTCGGAGTCGACGGGGAAAAGTCCGTTCGAGTTGGCTATAGGGCAACAACCCTTGACCCCGAACACGGTCGTGACTGGCTACACGGGGAATAGTCCAGCCGCTTTCAAAACCACTAAGGAGTGGCAATTAGCCCACGAACTTGCTCGAGCTCATTTGGAGAAGGCTTCAAAGAAGATGAAGAAATGGGCAGATCGCAAGCGAAGGAATGTGGAGTTCCAAACTGGCGACCAAGTCTTTGTAAAGCTCAATGCGTCTCAGCACAAGAGTACTCGTGGCTTGCACAAGAGCTTGTTGCGGAAATATGAGGGACCATTCCCTATCATCAAGAAGGTTGGCAAAGCCGCGTATGTTGTGGAACTCCCACCCCGCCTCAAGTTTCACCCGGTGTTCCATGTGAGCAACTTGAAGCCTTATCATGCGGACGATGAGGAACCAAGTCGAGGTGAGTCTCATCGAGCACCCCCTTTGATGACGGAGGCATTTGACAAAGAAGTGGAGAGCATTGAAGCCAAGCGTGTCGTGGTGCGACCAAGACAACCAAAGCATGTGGAGTACTTTGTCAAATGGAAGGGGCTACCATACTCCGAAGCAACATGGGAGAAGGAGACGTCCTTATGGCAATATAAGGACTTGATTCAGACATTCGAGAGGCAGGAGTCGACGAGGACGTCGACGGCTTAAGTGGGGGAGGATGTCACGGGCCGCATGTTAAAAACAAAGAAATGCCCAAGACATCATATATCTAAGCCCATGAAGCCTTGTCTTCATGGAAGCTTCTGGAACGTCCCGGAGAAATCAAGAACGTGGCGGAGCATTCAAGATAATCTAGAGCATTCCGGAACATTCCACACAAGTGTACATATTTAAGCCTCACCTAGAATAATCTAGATTAGGCAAGTTGTATCTAGAACTATGCTAGATATTTTTGGATGTAAGTAGGGGATTCTAGAACCCTCCATTGAGGAGGTGACTTAGGCCTATAAATAGGAGGTAAGGCCATTTGGCCAAACCATCCAAGAATCCAAGAATTGTAAGCAATTGTAAAGTTCTCTTAACTTTCAATACAAAGCTTCCTTTCTCCCATCTTCTAAGTGATCTTAGCATTCTCCAAGCTATCTTAGCTTTCTTTGTGATTCGATCCGGGGAAGCGAGGCTTCGAAGGCTTACTTAGCTTGTTCATCGAGGTATTCAAGTCTAAGTGCCGCACGGGCGGAAGGCTTAAAGAGTCATCCCGTGACACTAGGAAGTTGAAGTTGGCTACGATTCTAAGAACGAGTCTTATCAGGAGACTAGTGTATCTAGTCTCAATACAAGGAAAATTGCAGTCGCCAACTATTCTAAGATATCAAGATGATGACAAAGGCTTTTATGATAATTATCTCGGAGTATTTTGCTTTGGGCCGAAATTGCACGGGTTGGCTAGTAAATACATCACTGCTATAAATACAAAGCGTTGTGCAACGTGGAAGAGATCTCGAATTCAACATACAAAACTGCCTTGCGCAAACTCTCTCAACAACTTTGAGATTTTTTTATTTTCTTTTTCACCAACACATCTTCAGTTTGGATAAACAACACTGTGAAGGCAACCGGCGAACATCTTCAGTTTGGATAAACAGCACTGCGTCGAGGCTGACTGGTTATCTATCCAAGTCTCGGTCGAGAAGGATTTTTGAATCCTTATTGGCAGAGGTCATCTCATTAGCCTTTTCGGCGAAGTGAATTGTTACAAGTTATTAAATTCGGCACATTGAAAGCCGAATTTAATATTGAACTTCGCAGAACTAGCAGCCTTGTCTTCAGGTTCTAGAACCCGAAGGCCGAGAGTGTTCCTTCCTCGGCCGCAGTCGCGAGATTTAGAAGTCAGCAGCGCACCCAACTCAACATTAGAATATTTTACTCCTCAGCCGAGCTCGGCCGACGAGTTGGCATGCCCCACATTCAACCGAATGACGTAGTTAGCTCATAGATTACTCGGCCTGCGCGCCACGCAGGCTTGGTAATTTTTAGGGTCAACAATACTGCATTTGTTCATCATGAATCATATGTCTTGATAGAATCATTTTCCTAGTTGCAACATATAACTCCCTTGTACCCCATATCATACCTAAGAAAAACACACTGCACATATCTTGCTTGCAACTTATTTGAATTGTAAGTCCTCAGAAAGGGATTTACTGCAGTTCCAAAAAATTTTAAATTTTATAACTTAGGAACTTTGTCAAACAACACTTGATATGGTGACTTCATTTCCAGCACCTTACTTGGCATTCTATTAATTAAGAAAATTGCATAAGAACAAGCATGAAACCAGAATGATACAGACAAATTTGCTCCAGAAATTAGAGTAAGTGCTGTCTCTATTAAGTGTCTATACTTTATCTCAGAAATACAATTTTGTTGAGGGGTATGTGGACATGAAATTATATGAACAATCCCCTTAGACTCTAGAAAATTAGTAAAGACTTTACTCATGCACTCTAGACCCGGCAGTTTCTGACACGACACGAAAACGACACGAAAATAACGGGTTTCGGGCCAACACGATAACTTATCGGATCATTATCAGGTGACTCGTTAATAACGGGTATACACGCGGGTAACACGTGGGTAACTTGTTTCGACCCGTTAAGAAAAAATTTATTTTGATAATTTTAAAGTTTAATTACTAAAAGATTTCTTATAAAATACAATAGTCATATTATATATACAATATATTCTATATTAAATATATAGTTTTGTATTATTATTCTATATAAGTTTAAAAAAAAAGTTTTAGTCATTATTTATTTTTATTATGAGAGTTCCTTATTATCATTACTAGGATAAATTTTACTTAACATGTTGTTGTCCAAAATTAAAATAAACTAATATAGTATTTGTATAGACAAGAACTAAGAAGACATACATACAAGTATGAAAAATGTGAAAGAATATATAAACACTCGTGATTTACACTTACATTATCGTTCAGATTTTTAAAAATCCTCCAAACCTTCATGAATAATGTTTTTTATTTGAGGGAAAAATTAATAAAATTAATAATAATTATTGTAAAAGTGTAAAAAATGTAAAAAAAATATACAATCACTCATAGTGACAAACTTTACAACTTTCATGAAGGGGTCAACTTCGAAATCCAAGAGTATAATTCATAAACCTTAAATTTATATAGTTTGTAGAAACTTTATAAACATCAAGCAATATTTTCACTAACCGTAAAACTCTGAATATAATATCAACGATCCAAACCGTTCATCTTCCTGCATCCTCTAATAGATCAAGTTTTCAAAAAAGAAAATCTGAAAACAACAAAATTTGATGAGAACAATGAAGCGTAAATGTAAACAACAATCAACGGTTAAATTTTGATTTATGATTTATATGATTATAGTGGCGAATTTCGAAGTTAAGCTCTTCATGAAAGTTGTAAAACTTGTCATTACGAGCGTTTATATATTTTTTCTATATTTTTTTACACTTCTACATTAATTAAAAAACTATTAAAGACTTTAGGTAAGTGAAAATATACTTAAAAGAAAAATGTGTTTTATGTTTTGGATGTGACAATATGATATGTATATACTTATTTAGTATTATGTTTTTCATTTGATTATTTATTGGTTTAAAATATATTTTCCTTAATGGGTAATGGGTCGGGTCATATTACCTGTTAATGGGTCGGATCATTTTACCCGTTTATTTTAACGGGTGTTACACGACACGATCCATTAAGATATCGAGTATGACACGAAAACGACACGAACACAGACAACACGACACAAATGCCAGGTCTAATGTACTCTCCTCCTCCATCAGTTTGCGAATATTTAATGGAAGTATGGAACTGATTAAGCACAAAGGCATGAAATTTCACAAATGCATTCACTGCTTCAGATCTATTAATCAGAGGAAAAATCCACAGAAACCTTAAATATTCATCAATGAAACTAATGTAATATTTATAACCTTCAATTGACATTTTTTGGAGAAAGCCCCCATACATCTGAATGTACTCTTTCAAACATAAAACTTGCACTACTATGTTTTACAGGAAATGATTGCCTACACATTTTGCTTGAAATACATGATGAACATACTGACTATGAAGAATCTATGGTAACTGGTACTTAAGCTGACTTTAACATAGCTGGTAATATCTCTTCAGATGGATGAAATCCCCATCACTCAACTTCGATCTTGAAAACATTGTCATATGTATGGTAAAGAGATCCCCATCACTCATTCCTTGTTAGAAAATCACATTGGTTACCTTGTCCTATATGAAAAACACACAATCATCACAAATAAACCAGCATCCATTATCATGACACAATTTCTTCACTGATAAAAGATTGACAGCAATATTGGGAACACATAAAACATTTTTCAAGTATAAGAAAGTTGTTGGAGTAAGTAATGTTGTTGAACCAATATGTTTCACATCCAAACCTTGATCATTGCCTATGATTATCTTTTCTTCTCCATTATAAGCAGTGACTTGATTAAGAGTATTGACATTGGCTGTCATGTGATGTGTGGCACCAGTGTCCAACACCCATGTATCAACAGCAGAAAACCCATGTGGTTATGAATCATCTCTTTGTTGAGTAAAGCCCTATGAACCTTGAGTAGACATTGCAGTGATTGTTGATGGTGGTGGTGGTGCTCCCTGATAAGTATAGTTATTCCTATGATAGCAGTCCAAAGCGGCATGGCCTTTCTTTCCACATATCTGGCATACCAAGAGTTGATATTGAATGACATTTGAACCATATGAACTTCTAAAATGACAATTAAGAGTAGTATGTCCTATTCGAAAGCGAATCTGGCATTTAGGTGTAATAGAGGATCTAAAATTTGTATTGCCATTCCAACTCTGCCAAGTAGATCCATTTTTAGAACCACTATTTGAAGACTGACCACTAAAACCAGATTGTGATCCCTTGCCCTGATAAGAAGAAAAGCCACTATTGCCCTTGTATTTGTTACCAAAGTATGGTTTAGGGTTCCTATTTGAATTGAATGTCCCACGATTATTCTGAGAATTGAAAGGTCTTTGATTGTTCCCAATGAATCCATAGCCTCCCTGATAGTTGTTTGCTGCACCCATAGCAGAGCTTTCACCTTGATAAGTGCCATTCCCTTGATATGTACCAGTGCCAAAACCTCATTGATAGCTATTTGATCCCATGTTAGAACTCTTACCCTGATACATCCCATTGAAGCCATTGGACCTGTCACCATTAGATTTGTCACCATTTATACATTGCAGACATTGTATTTGTGAGAGATGTAATCCTGAACTCAATAGTCAATTCAACACTAAGAAGTTGAGCCCTGAAATCCTTTAGAGACATAGGATTTTCCCTTGCCCATATCACTGTCATAATCATGTGAAACTCCTGTGACAAACCAGTTAATGCAGCAATAATAAGATCATTTTCTGACACCCTTTCACCTGCAGAAATTAGTTGATCTCTTATAGTCTTCAATCTCAGCAAAAACTTGTCAACATAATCACCTTCTTTTTGTGCAGTATGAAATTCAGTTTTTAGCTGATTAATTCGTGAGATTGAAACAGTTGCAAACCGATCTTGCAATGCACTCCATGCTTCCTGTGATGTTTTACACCCAATAACATGCTCCATGGCATCATCAGATAACATAGCAATTAACAGGCTAAGTAAAGCCATATCCTTTTTCACCTAGTTCTTGTATGCAGTAGTGAACTCCTTGGTAACTCCAGTTTCAGAACGAATTACAAATTTTGGTGGACATGGATTATCACCAGTAAAGAAATCGAACAAATCATATCCACACAGAACTGATTGAAACTGAAAACTCCATTTAACAAAGTTATCATCTTGTAATTTCACAATTAGCATTCCTAGAAGTCCTTCAATCTTCACAGATTCCACTGTACACTTAGACATCATGCTTACTACTACCAAATTCTTATATGGCCACAATCAAGAAAGTTCAATAGAGAACTCCACAATCACAGATATCAAGATTACACACCAACAAGACTCTTTCAAGTTTACAATTAAGAACAAGACTTCGTCGACAAACAGCCTTCAACACACCAAGATTCTATCAAGAAAGCAGAACCCTCTTCGACAATCGGCCTTCAAAGAAGAGAGATGACTAAACAACAATATGGCAATCGGCCTTCAATCAAGATTTCATACTCCGGCAATCGGCCTTTAATGGAGTAATAAGCAAATACAAATCAACAAGAAATGACTATCACCTTATAATTCTTCACAATTTTGAACAAATAATGGCAATTGGCCTTATAAGCAAACAATTCATCAATCCAAAAATAGATACTCACTAACACACATTATCAAACAGTTGGAGTGCACATACCTTTTCTCTGTTGAAACCCCATGATTCAATCACCAAGAAACTGCACCAAGAACAACAAATCATCTAAACCAACAGAAGAACGACAAATCGCGAGGCGGAAAAACGGAAAATCACCACGGATCGACCCCCGGCGATGATACCATATTAACAATAAGCTATGAATGGCAGTAAAAGGAGAAGAATGAAAAGAAGAACAATCACATAATGTTTAGAGAGGGAATGAACGACCGAAGATTGCATTACTCGAATGAATTACAGAGAAAAGGAAGTCAGTATTTATACATCTATCATTTGCTTCAGAGATAAGCAACTGACTAACTAAAGCAACTAACTAACTAACTTCCTTATATTTCTACAATCTTAACAAACACCCTAACTGCCTTGTTCATGTGTCACCTAACTGCCTTGCTGATGTGTAAACATTCATGCTGACATGTATCCAAAACAATGCTGATGTGTATATATCAGTTAACAACATGAAGGCCTCCTTGGACTCTCTAGCAAGTGTTAGACCTAAATTACTTGTAATTAACAAGGCAAACGAGTATCACAGTTATTAGTGCTTGGTTAAGGGAAAGAGAGAACATAACTTTTTCTTGTTTGACCCGTATTTCAAGTCTCAGATAAATGAGAGTGCTAACTGCTAAGGAGACCCACCCATCCAACAACGAAGAAAGTTGGCATTAGTGATTTGACGGTGTCTTCGCTCTTTCTCAAAAATAAAATTTTTCATGGATTTTTTTATCATTTTATAGTTTAACGTTAATTTTTCATGTTAATATTATTACACATTGTGTCAAAAGTGTGAAGTGTCAAAGAGTTCATGAATAATTTAATTTTTGAGAGAGTCCCCTTAACATTTCTCCAAATATATTCTTAACAACAAACAAAATTAATCAGAAACTTGATCTCACTTTGCCATTCAAAACCCTAGGAAATTATTAACAATAATACTTGCCGCACAAATCTCACCTTATTCATTACCAACATTAATATCAAAACTGGGGTATCATAGACTGCATAAATTACTCACAGGTTCTTTTTGGATTAATATATATCGGGAGTAAATCCGTCACACCATTTGAAATTAAAACACCAAATATTTTTCTTATTGTTGTTCTTTAAAAAGTATGCGGATCAACTCAGGCAATAACTCTAATAGCAAAGATTTACCTCCATGCGTACATAAGAGTTTGACTCAAACTCTCCTAATTCTCCTCCTATAGTGAAATTAGGTCAATTTTGGTTACTAGGGCTTGCTATTGTTATGATGAATAAAGAAAGCGAATTGAAAGAGAGGAAATTGAGAGAAATCAAAGATAATTGCAATTGTATTTCACTATAATCGTAGTAGCTTTATTGCCATCTTATATCTCTTTACAATATTTACAACTGCCCTTCTAAGTTCTAACAATACTACCCATACACTTAAAAGAAACACAGCCTTTCATGCTCTAATTGTTTCAACTTTCAAATAAACAAATTTGGTTGCTGGGTGCACGAGTGGCACAAATGTTATTTGTGTAAGGCTTATTAATTGAAATGCTCTCTGAAACTGCCATTTAGTCTCAGTTTATTCTCTGAAACTGGTTTTGTCTCATTTTGCCTACTGAAACTAACATTGTTAACTCTTTTAGTCTCACTTCACCCCATTCCCTTAAATAAAAATTAAATTTAAGGCTATTTTAGACACTTTAGTTTTTACACATCTATTTACCTCTAGCCTACACACTAAACCAATTTCAATTCCATTTTTAACAATTCTAATTCAAATTCACGAGTTTTGGGTCTTTTTAAAAATAAATTATTTAATAAATAGAAAAGTTCCAAGAAATAAAATCATTATATCAATAAAAATAAGGGTTATATTTTTGTTCGTAGAGTTATTTCACTTGCAAGACATCCATGTATTGGCTCGAAACTTTGCACTTGAAACACATTGTAACAGAAAAGAAACATGATAAGTTTCACCCTTAAAAGATTATTTCAAATCAGTTGCACAAAATATAATCTAAAAAAAAAAAATCATTAAGCTATCATGTCCAAAATACTCCCCCTCCCCCCCCCCCAAAAAAAAAAAAAAATCAAATAAAGCAACTGTGCATAGTTTGTAACCAAAAGTTTCACATTGTTACTCGGAATTTTTCTATTAACTGAATAATTTATTTTTAAAAGGCCCTAACTCATGGGATTTGAATTAGAGTTGTCAAAAATGGAATTGAGATTGGTTTAGTGTGTAGCCTAGAGATAAATAGATGTGTAAAATGTAAAAAGTCTAAAATACCCTTTAATTTAATAGTTCTTAAACAAAATGGGGTGAAGTGAGAAAAAGGAGTTGAAAATGTTAGTTTCAGAGGGTAAAGTAAGACAGAACCAGTTTCAAGCGTTAAACTGAGACTAAATGGCAGTTTTCAGGGGGCATTTCAATTAATAAGCCTTTGCAGACACATCCCTTTTTATCTTTCACAATCTTTTCAATTTTCGGTAATCAGATTGAATGAATTAAGGGTATGTTGATAGCACTACCCTGCGTAATTTCCAAATAATTTTAGTATTTTTCTGGTTCGCCATGGAAGCACATGATTTGGGCCGACATTAATGGCGAAGTATAGGGCCATAAATGGGCCTCATAAAACAAGATCAGACAGTGTCATGCAGCAAGAAGATCGGAGTTGACAAAATCATATAACAATTGCAAATGCTTTTTAACTAATAAGCATGATGCATGTCCAAAAGTTTGTGCTGATATGTCACACATGCATTTGATTCAACAATAAGCTATCACACGAAGCTGAGTAAGATTATGGCGCATCATTTATTCTTCGTTTAACAGAGGAAAAATAATAATTGATTAATTATGTTAAGAAATTGATATGCACACATTTTCAGTATTGACACATTCTCCGCATCGACAAATTAACTTCACCTAGTTGATTCGGTTCCAGTGTTCAGAACAAGGTGCTCTTCTCTTCCTTAAACTTCAGACAAGTACACTACACACTTATCTTCCCATATTCTTTTGCGATTCACGAGAGATTGATAGAGAAAGAGGAACAATGAACCCGGGATAGGGAAGTTCCTCTCCAATCGTGGCTAATTATATATGTTTATTCAGGTAAAGCATGCATGACAAGGAAAAGCTAATTGAGATGTAATTAACAGCTCAATATATAACGTGCATTAATTTCACTATATCCAAGTAACAATCTGATCACAATTAAGCTAATTGGTGATCATATATACATTTGTTTACAATGCATAAGCAAACCAAAAACTTAATGAAATTCCCTAAGAAACAACTTAATGAAGGGTGCATAGCAACCTCTAGTTGAAAATTTTGACCCATCATAGTCCTCGTACTGATGATGATGATGAATCCTTGAATCAACAAAACCCTTCGGGCTTGACATCGATCTACCTCGTGCCAGAAATTTCGTCGGTGTTACTGGGGAAGATGGAACTGAATAGTACGTTGTTGAATACACTGATGACGACGAAGAAGAAGAAGATGAAGGAGATGCTGATGAAAAAGCTGGTGCTGATGATGGGGTTGATGCTTTTCTTGAAGTAGTACTAGTACTACGCATTTTGGGGAAAATAGTGTGTAAAAGAAGAGAGCTTTTTGAGTTCTTTTTCCTTAGGTGTATTTTCGGGGAATCGTAAAAATATGAAGGTGGGGGTGTAAGAGGAGGTAGACGACTAGGGTTTCGGAGGAACTTGGCTTTAGGAGTACCTGGTTGAGATTCCCAAGTGAATGGAACTGAAACAAAGGCAGAGGCTCCTCCATGGTATTGATCTTCAAGTGCTGATGAGAAGTTATCCATAAATTCTTGTTTGGGTGCTTAGAGAGCTTGTCGTGCTTGGGGTTGAAGCAATTGTTTCTTCAGTATTAATTATAAGTGTCTTACCAATATCCTAGATATATGTATGCAAGGGGCAGAGTGGAATAATCTCATGCCTCTTTTGCTAATTTAAAGGATCGATTTGTGCCTTAAAATTGTCTGCATGTGTTTGTCTAACATGCTGATGTATGACTTAGATTAGTTTTTCTTATATAAAAATAGGAGGGGGTTGAAAAATTTGTTAGTGAAACATAAAAATATAATTTATGGATTGAGAGTTATATAATTGATCATGACCGGCCAACTAATACATATTACATACATAAAAAAATAATAAAAGATTAATTCCAAGTTTAGTTTTCATCATTAGTTATAATCTAGATTTAGAGCTCATTTGGATGTACTTTTAAAATGACTAAAAGCGCTTTTGTTGAAAATATTTTTGGAACTAATTCTTAGTAAAAATGCAAGTATATTCTGGAAAAGCACTTAAAGTGCTTCCTGGAAGAAGCACATAACTGGTGCTTCTTGCAGAAAGCACTTTAAGTGCTTTTGGAACAAAAAAAAGATATCTAAAAAAGCTTTCAGTCATTTTAAAAGCACATTCAAATAAACTCTTAGATCGCTACCACATGCACATTAATTAAAAGCCCAGTAAACCGTCTAGGTTTGCTAAATCAACGGCTAATTAATTTTGTTAGCCTTTTTTTTCATATATATATACATATACCAAATTAATCAAATGTTCATTTTTAATGGTTTATACTAATAATAGACGACGTTTTACCGTAGTGATAAAAAGTAATAATACTTATGCACCTTAGTGAGGATACGATTTCTATTGACGCACTAACTCTATGGTTGGTAAAAAAAAAAGGTTTATACTAATGTAAGTGTGTAAAAAAGTCAGCTGAAACATACGTATTGTATACAGCAACTTGCTTACTCCTTTTCGCTTTCATCTCATCAAAAGAGGTATGACCATCATTTTGCTGCATTCTTAATGCCTTTGTTTTGGTTTGCCCTCAGCCGTTTTGGCTGTTTTGTTTCTCGACTCTTGCCTTTGTGCCCTTTTATGAAAACATTTGTACTTTTATGAAAACATTTTTCGATACAAACAACTTGGAGCATGCGATATCGAACATAAGACCTCATATGCAAAAAGTGTACTAATTGCTTAAGTTACAAGCCCTTCGTATATTTGCAATTAGTTTAAGCTTGATAATCATGTGCTTAACCGTTAAAAAAATGCATTTATATAACTTCAACCGATCCACTGCAGAATTTATGCAGATGCAGTAGAGGCTTGAACCTCAAAGCCAGGTACGTCCAGGTGCCATCCATTTGCCTCACTCACTGACTTGCTCATTTGCTTTAATTCTGAATAGATTAATATATTAAAGACCCTAGAAATTTAATCATCGTTTAAGTATCGTAGTGGCCTTTTGCGAACCTTTTGAGACATTTTCCTACCATTATTGCCCTATGAGCGGCGACTTCGGCGATCTGTTGATCAATCTTAGTCTGCTAAAATCTACTATTATTTAAGATTGCCCACATAATTAAAAAATATAAGGCATATTGATTTCAATTATTTAGTCAATCTATTGGAATTGACATACATTTAAACAATTTCAAGTTCTTATTTTCGAACAGTTTAAAATTATTCGAGAAATTTTTAGATCTTGGAAGTTGCTTTGTAAGATGCATGGGTTGAGTTAATTAGCCTCTATTGACAAGTTGGATTGATAAGCACCTAAGGAAGCTTTGTCCTAAA